CGAGAAAAAAAAACAAAAACTTAAGAGCTGTTTGAAAACAACTTGAAAGGGCTGGGAAGGTGGCTCAGTGGTAGAGCGCTTGCCTTGCATGCCTGAGGCCCTGGGTTCGATTCCTCAGCACCACATAAGCAAAAAGAAAAAAAAAAAAGAAAACAACTTGAAAGTAACTGATGAAAACAAGTTGGCCAAGTGCTGTCCTTGCTTCTGCCTTTCTTCCCGTCCCAAGTCAGAGACAACTGATTCATAACAGGCAGCTAAGAGCTCTATCATATTCCAATTTTACACTGCAGCCTACTAAATGGAGCCTGGATGAACCAATTTTTTTATTGTGAAAATACTATACAGAGGGGTTACAATTTCATGGGGAACCAAAATTTTTTACCTTATCAGTTTTCTAAACTGTTAGACTAGTATAAGAAGAGGGAATTAGTGACTACAGTGGTCTAGATTGGCTAGGATTCTCATCTTCTTGGTGGAGGATTGCCCAAAATGTGAGCACTGAAGCTAAATGTATTGTATTTGGTCAGGAATCCAATATACAAACTTCACCTCAAAAATATTTCAACTTTTTTTTTTAAACCATGTTTAGTTCTGTTCCTCAGTAACCACATAAAAGCTATGTCCAGCCAGAAGAATGATAACAGTAACTATTGGTTTGGATCCCCATATTTCCTTCTGTCATGGTAAATTCAATTATACTTATGTGCCAGGTGCTGGTGGCTCATACCTGTAATCCTAGATACTTAGAAGGCTGAGATCTAAGGATCAGAGCTGGAAACCAGCCCAGGTCCCTATGAGACTCATCTCCAATGAACCACTCAAAACTGGAATTGGAGCTGTGGTTCAAAGCAGTAGAGTACTAACCTTGAGCAAAAGAGCTCAAGGATAGTACTCAGGCCCTGACTTCAAGCCCCACAATCAAAAAATAAAAATAAAAATTATATATGTGCATATCCAACTCATTCTGGTAGCTAGCTAAAAAACGACTTAGTCTATGAGAAACAAGACAGCTTCATTCCAACTAAACATAAGAACATAAGAAGCACCATACCCACTAGCTATGGAAAGTCTTTGAGCAGTATCGAGTTTCAAAAACTAATTAGGAAGGGTATTCCACATTTAAATTCCTTTTCTGAGCCAAAGTAGCCAAGACTTCTACAAGTACATATAGCATGTATGAAGTGATTTTTCACCAACCTTCTTTCCTTATTCCTATACAAGGTATACTATATTCTTATACTCCAGATCACCTAATATGTTATATTTTCAGTTTAAACAATTTAGCTAAGTGCCAGTGGCTCAGGCTTGTAATTCTAGCTAATCAGGAAGCTGAGATCTAAGGACTGTGTCAAAGCCAGGGTAGAAAAGTCCATAAGACTCTTTATCTCCAATTAACCAGCCAAAAGCTGAAAATGGAGGTATAGTTCAAATGGCAGAGGGTCAGCCTTGAGCAAAAAAAGCTGAGTATAAAGCCCTAAGTTCAAGCCCTACTACTACTGGCACACACACACACACAGACACACAGACACACACACACACACACACACACACACGGCAATTTGAGGGTCTGCTATCAGGAATATCCAAAGAACTTTTGTAACTCAAAAAATAAAACCAAGCCGGGCGCTGGTGGCTCACGCCTGTAATCCTAGCTACTCAGGAGGCTGAGATCTGAGGATCGCGGTTCAAAGCCAGCCCGGGCAGGAAAGACCATGAGACTCCTATCTCCAATAAACCACCAGAAAACCGGAAGTGGTGCTGTAGCTCAAATGGTAGAGCGCTCGCCTTGAGCTGAAGAGCTGAGGGACAGTACCCAGGCCCAGAGTTCAAGCCCTACGACCAACAAAAGAAAAAAAAAAACCAAGCAAGTAAATTTTTTTAGTGGGTCAAGGGCTTGAATGGACAAATGACCAACAAGTATACAAAACAGGTGCTGCATATCATTAGTCATTAGTGAAATGTAAATAAAAATCATCCAGAAAATAAGCCTAGGATGAACAGGACCTTGGTTTGATCCCAAGCACTGCACAAAAACACAGTGAGATGCACTTCACATCCACTAAAATGGCAACAGAAGGGAAGGAGAAGGAAGGAAGGTGAGAAAAGTGTTGGCAAGGATGTGGAGAAGTCAGAACTCTCTTACATTGCTGGTAGGAATGTAAAATGGTGCAGCTGTTGTGGAAAAGAGTTTGGCAGTGCCTCAAAAAGCTAAACATAGAATTAGCATATGACTCAGCAATTCCACCTCTAGGTACATACCAAAAAGAACTGAAAACAGGTGTAGAGGGAAAACTTGTTAATGAATATTCATAGCAGCACTATCATAATAGCCAAAACACAGAAAAATCTAAGTGTCTATCAACAGTTAAATGAATAAGCAAAATATTTCCACACATTTGCATATTATCCAACCATAAAAAGAGATAAAGTATTAACGTATGCTATACCGTAGCTGGGCTTGAAAACCATTATAGTAAGAAGCCAGACACTAAAGGCCAAATACGTTATGATTCCATTTATAGGAAACAGAATAGGTGAACCCACTGAGGTAGAAAGGAGAGGTTTAGTGGTTGCCAGGGGCTGTGGGTAGGAGAGAACAGGGAGTGACTATTTAATGGGTACAGGGTTTTCTTTGTGGTGATAAGAATATCCAGCAACTAAATAGTGAAGATGCTAGAACACATTGTGAAGACCTGGAATGGTATTGAAATTTAATTTCAGTGAACTGCACATCCACAATGAAAATGATTGTATTTGGAAATATTCTGCGATAAAATATGAAGCCTCAGATCAGGAAAGGCAACAAATTAATCTTAAGAGATTAGCATTTACATACTTTATGTGCCTGCAATCGCAGCTAGTTGGCAGGTGCAAGTAGCAGAATCAATCTGAATACTCATCAAGAGAGTTACAACTAAGTGAAAAATTATTGCTTAAGAACAATGGTGTGTGTATGTGAATATGAGAGAGTAAATGACAAGCACGTTAACTCAAGTAAAAAACTATGAAAGACAGCCAGATATGGTGACATATGCCTTAGCACTCAAGATTGTGAATTCAAATTCAGCTGGGGTTAGATAATGAGACTATCTCAAAACAAAAGATATCTAAGAAATAGTGTCAATTAATGCAAATTAAGAAATAATACATGCATTGATTTCAATTCTTTATATTCATTAATGGTACATGGAAAGTAATTTGAAGTAAGAGTTTAAAACTCAATGGGCTCTTTTAAAAATAAGTTGTACAGGAAGTGGCGCTGTAGCTCAAGTGGTAGAGCGCTCGCCTTGAGCTGAAGAGCTGAGGGACAGCGCCCAGGCCCAGAGTTCAAGCCCCACGACCGACAAAAAAAAAAAAAAGTTGTACAGCCAGCTAAGGTAATCCTAAACTACTTGGGAGGCAAAGATCTATAAGATTGAGATTTGAGGCCAGCTGGACAAAAGTTCACAAGTCTCCACAATAACTAGTGGGTGAGAACAGTGGCACTTGCCTATCATCCTAGAAGTACAAATAGGAAAGTCTTGGTCCATGTTGGTTCAGACAGAAAGCAAGACTTTATCTCAAAAATAATCAATGCGGGGGGATTTAGGGGGGAGGGAAAGAGGGAGAAAAATGATAGAAGGGGTAACAAGTTAGACCAGAAATGTAATCACTACCTTACTTATGTAACTGTAACCCCTCTGTACATAAAATTTTTTTAAAAAATAACCAATGCAAAAAGGGCTGACTTAAGTAATACAACACCTGCTTGGCTAAGTGTGAAGTCCTGAGTTCAAACCCCAGTACCACAATAAATAATTTTTACTACATTTAAAATAGTACATTATTGCAAATAAAACTTTTTCATATAATATTTTGATAAAGATACACAAATATCCTTTAAAATATCAAGGAAGGAGAATTAGTACACATATCTAAACTATTATATATTCACATAACTGTAGAAATGTGAATAACTGTTCAAAATATTTTTAATAGATTCAGATACTAACTCTGTCCAGTTCTCAACCTATAAGCAACCTTTGTACAAGTTATTTGTACACAGAAGTCATCATAAAAACCAGAGACAAACTAATCTGTTTGGAGGTTGGGTGAAGCCATGCAAAGAAGAAAAGCAAAGCAGTTTATGGGAGGTAACCTAAGAGATATTCTCCTGACCCAAATTCTCTCTTTTTTTAAACCAGTCCTGGGGCTTGAACCCTAGGCCTGGGAGCTGTTCCTGAGCTCCTCTGGCTCAAGGTTAGCATTCTACCACTTGAGCCACAGCACAACTTCCAGCTTTTTCTGAATAGTTTATTGGAGATAAGACTTTCCTCCCTGGACTGGCTTTGAATCACAATACTCAGATCTCAGCATCCTAAGTAGCTAGGATTACAAGTATGAGCCACCAGCACCTGGCTCCTGACCCAAATTCTATTAATGGAATTTCTCTTAGACTTTCTGAGACTCTACCAACTAAAGAGCTAATGAAGATAAACAGGAATTGTCTATTTATCAAGGTCAATAGCTCTGAAATAACACAGTACCAATCTGTTTAATCATTCTGCTTCTTTCTTTACAACTTAAACAAGCAACTATAACTGGAAGGAAACAGCACCTGCCTCACAGGTGGCTGTCTTCTCCTGTGTGTGCTTCCTCTAGAGAAATTCCCCATTTTTCATTCCCTTTGAATCAAAGTTTTCATTCATTAGCCTAACATACTATATATTTCCTCATTTCTCCAAGGAAGTTTTAAGTTCATAAGAATTAAGTGTATTTTTAAAATATCAACTCACCTCAAATTTATCAACACTGGGGAAGATAAGATTTTTACAATTTTCTTTTAAAATGTTTCTATTTAAAACGCGTTTTTCTTCTCAGTTTTAACACAATACTTTCTCTTTCCATGCATATAACTTCATTACACATTCATTAGAGTGTTACAAGGTTGAGTGTTTACTTCGGGCCTTGTAAACAAACATTTAATATGTTTAGCTTGATATTCATCAACTGATTCTTACTTTGCTTCAGTTTGTGGAAATCACTGACTCTGCCCTTAGTTGCCTGCTTTAGTACATCTGGTTGAATTCTGGGTCCACTCTCCATGTTTGAGCCTGGAAGTAAACGTTGAAGAGGATTGGAATTGGAAGGGCTCTGTTTTGAAGTACCAGGGTTTCCATTGTGGTTTACATGTGAATCTATGGCAAAAGAATATCAAATTAGAAGTCAAATTCCTTTATAGAAGAAATAGGCTTCACAAAAACTGCTTTAGAAAAACTAAGAATAAGAAATACTGTTGTCTGGGATTGGGTAGTCATGTAATTTTTCTTTTTGATGCTTTACTCCAATTTCTTTTATCAAATCTTATTGCAAGGTGGCTTAAGCCATAGGGAGCTTACTCATCATTGCCAGGTGAGTATCTTCATTATTGACATATCTATCCACCAAACAGATGCACAACAGAAATGCAAAGATCACTTCCATGATACCTGTTTTCTTTCCCTCCCTCCAAACTCCATACAACTGTGTTGTAAGACATTTCTAAAACACAGTCTTTTGAAATTTTTAACATCTACGTTTTCATCTATGCATACAGTAATTCACAACTGTTAACTCTTTTCCTTTTTTTTTCTTTTTGTCAGTTGTGGGGCTTGAACTCTGGGCCTAGGTGCTGTCCCTCAGCTCTTCAGCTCAAACCTAGCACTCTACCACTTGAGCCACAGCGCCACTTCCATTTTTGTGAATGGTTTATTGGAGATAAGAGTCTCATGGACTTTCCTTCCAGGGCTGAGCCTGGATCTTCAGATCTCAGCCTCTTGAGTAGCTAGGATTATAGGCATGAGCCATCAGCGCCCAGCAAATCTTCGATTCTTTCTTAACAGTATCTCTGCGATAGAACCTTTTTTTCCCAAACTCCTCCACCCCCTTTCCTCATCAAAGTCTTTATTTAAATCTTTTAAAGGTTTTTTTTGTTTGTTTGTTTCGGGTTTTTTCTGGTGCTAGGAATCAAACCCTGAGCCACACAAGCTAGGAAAGCACTCTACAACTGAGCCATACACCCAGCCCACGATCTTTATTCCTATTAATCTTGGAATTAGAAACCTCTATGCTACTAAGTTCTACAGCTTTCCTTTTCTTCATCTCCCTATATCAGCTTATTTAAATCATACCAACTCCTAATTTGGAACAATTGTGTAAAGTCAAATAGGTGTTCAATACAAAGCAAACATGCTCATAAGTGCAGAGTGATTGTTTAATACATGGTAAGGCTTCTGTAATATACCTATGAACACACTTTGAAAAAGGTAAATCTATACAGCCTAGCAGAGATGAAAGGCAACATAGTTGTTTGGGGTTTTTTTTGTTGTTGTTGGTGGTAGTCTGGGCCTGAGCACTATACCTGAGCTTTTATGCTCAAGTTTAGCACTCTACCACTTTGAGTCTCAGCACCACTTTTGGTTTTCTGTTGGTTAATTGGAGATTAAGAGTCTCAGAAGCTTTACTGCCCAAGCTGGCTCTGAATTGCAATCCTCAGATTTCAGCCTTCTGAGGAGCCAGGATTACAGGCATACACCACTGGCACTCGGCTAAGGCAATAGTTTTTGTTGTTGTTGAGAGTTTGTTAGAATATTGTTATTACAGAGGTGATATAGTGGTTACATTTACATCTGTTAGGTAATGAGTACATTTCCTTCCATACAGTGTCATCTGTTCCCTCATTCTCACCCATTCCTTCTCTCCCCTCTCCTCCCAGGAGTTGTACAGTTCATTTTCATCAATGTCCAGTACACTCCACTGCTGCACTTTTTCATACTTTTTCTTCGGATTCTTTGCCCTTCTCCCCCCGCCCCCCCAGATACACACGTGAACACACTGTACATAAGGTAAAGAATATAGAATCAGAAAAACATTTTAAAAAGTCTTTTACTTCCCTATCTTTGGAGTTCATTTCAGTGTGTATATTATTTTATATAAATATGAAGAGGCACTTAGGCATTTCACCTTTGTGATTCTCTCCTAAGACTATCTTCTTTTGGTCTCACTGTATGTGAATATCTAGAATCCTGTGTAATTTGTCACATCCCAGTGCATTTTAGATCTAACTTGCACATATCAAAGAGAACATGCACCATTTGTCTCTCTGATCTTGGCTCACTTAACATTATTTGTTCTAGTTCCATTAATTTTCTTGCAAATGACATATATTATTCTTTCTAATGGCTGCATAAAATTCCATTGTATACAGGTACTACATTTTTTGGATTCAGTCATCTATTGTGGGGCATCTGAGTTGTTTCTTTATCTTTGCTATTGTGAATAGTGAGGCAATAAACATGGATAAGCAGGTGTCCTTATCATATCCTGGTTCATGATGATTAGAGTAGATGCCTAGGAGTGGTATGGCTGGGTCACAGGGAAGGTCTACACTTAGTTTTTTGAGGAACCGCCAGACGTGGCTATACTAGAGTACATTCCTACAAGCAGTGCAGTAGGATTCCTTTTTCCCCATATTCCTGCCAGCATTTATTGTTGTTCAAATTCAAAATGTTGGTCAATCTAACTGGGGTGAGATGGAATCTGAGTTGTTTTGATTTGCATTTCTTTTATGGCCAGGGATGATGAGCACTTCCTCATGTGTTTTTTTGCCATTCTTACCTCTTCTGAGAAATCTCTTCTTAGCTCCCATTTAGTAAATTGGTATAAAGTTAGTTTCTTGAGCTCCTGTATATATTGGATATTATTCCTTTGATGTATTGCTGGAAAAGATTTTTTTCCCAATTGGTTGGCTGTCTTTTTAGTTTAGTAACTATGTCCTTAGCTGTGCAGAGACTTTTTATTTTAATGTAGTGCCACTTGTCCAGTCTTTCTCCTATCTGTTATGCCCCTGGGACTCTATTCAAGAAATTCCTGCTTCTACCTATAAGTTCTAAAGCTTCTCTTGCTCTCTCTGGCAGTAGTTTCAGAATTTTGGGTATGATGTTGAGGTTTTGATCCACTTTGATTTGATATTAGTGCATTGGTGACAAGCAGGCGTTTACTTTTTAATTCTCTGCATATGGCTACCCAGTTTTCCCAACACCAATTGTTGAAGAGGCTATACAGTTTTCCACTGTATGTCTTCAGCTCCTTTGTCAAATATCATATGCCTGTAGGCAATATAGTTGTAGATAGTAAAATAAATACTTCTTCCACTGTATGTCTTTAGCTCCTTTGTTACATATCATATGCCTATAGGCAATATAGTTGTAGATAGTAAAATAAATACTTCTTGTACTACAAAGAAAAGGCTAATACCACTAAACAAAGGGCAGATTTAAAAAACATTAGTATAAATTAATTGTACAAAGGGGTTCGTTGTGATATTTCCATACATATATGTAGTGTTTTGATAAAATTCACTACTTGTTACATTTTCTTAGCCCTCTTTCTGCCTTCCCCAACTTTTAATCAGTATTAAGATCTTATTATGCTATTTTCCCAGGTGTATGGGTGTGTATATATGTGGGTGTACTTCAATCATACTCAAATTCTATCATACTCTCCTCCTTCTCCTTCCCTTTCCCTATATGTTCTCCCACCCAAAATAGTTCCCTTCTTCTTTTTCTTCTTCTTCCTCCTTTTCTTCTCCTCCTCCATGCATTCTCTTCTAATTCTAGTAATGGTTGTTTTTGATGTTCACATACTTTATAAGTTCATGTAATCCCATTCTTCAATTTTTTTCCTGGACAACTGGAATTCTATTCAGAAAGTTGTTGCCTGTGCTTATATTAATTGTTTTCCCTGTGTTTTCCTATAGTACTTTCAAAATTTCAAGTCTTTTATATATATCTTTGATCCATTATGACCTATTTTTATACAGGGTGAGGCAGAAGGCTAGTTTCAGTCTTTACATGTATATATCTAGTTTTTCTGACACTGTTTGTTGAAGAGGCTGTCTTTTCTCCAATGTATGATTTTGGCCTCTTTGCCAAAACTGAGATGACTACAGATGTGTTTGTGTGTTTATTTCTGTCTATTCCAATATTTAACTTGCCTGTACCAAGTAGCCTTGCTGTTTTAGTTACGTTTTTGTTTACTTTGTAGTATAATTTGAACATTGGAATATTTTGATGCCTCTAACATTGCTCACAGTACAATTTCATTTTACTTTATTTTTGTCAGTTATGGGGCTTGAACTCAGGGCTTGGGCACTGTCCCTGAGCTTTTTGATGAAGATTAGCACTCTAGCTTTTCAGCCACAACTCCACTTCCAGTTTTCTGGTGGTTAATTAGAGGTAAAAGTATCCTGGACTTTCCTGCCTGGGCTAGCTTTGAACTGCAATCCTTAAACTTCAGCTTAGGCAGCTAGGCTTACAGGTGTACTTGGCTCCAGCTTGCAATTTCTTTTTTTTTTTTTTTTTGCCAGTCCTGGGGCTTGCACTCAGGGCCTGGGCATGGTCCCTGAACTTCTGTTGCTCAAGGCTAGCACTCTATTACTCGATCCACTTCTGGCTTTTTCTGTTTATATGGTACTAAGGAATCAAACCCAGGGCTTCATTCATGCTAGGCAAGCATTCTACCACTAAAGCCACATCCCCAGCCCAAGAGTGCAATTTTAGATAATCATTTTTTCCTGGCTTTTATCAGTCACTTAAACAAATACAATGTTAATTTGAAGAATGGATGCTAATTCACTATGCTACTAAGTGACATGTTTTATTCCCTACATAAGAATACATAAGCAATAACTTGGCTTGCAAATGGAATGCTAAGAATAAGACTTCATACCTGGAGCCATATTTGGGGAAAGAGGTTGTCCAGTTGGAAGCTGAGAGATTGCTTGGTGGCTTCCATGTGGAGAAACTAAAACAGGGGGCTTCTTTAAAGCTATAAGAAGAAGATATATCTGCATTATTCCCATTGATAATACAATTTCTAAAACCCAAATATCATGAATCTTTTTATAATATACTAATTCTCTGATACTTGTTCTAATTTTAGAATCCTTATAGTTGGTATATCAACTAATAATTACTCTGTGTGTGTGTGTGTGTGTGTGTGTGTGTGTGTTTCTACTAGGGCTTCAATTCAGGATTTCTCACACTGGCTTTTTCATTCAAGGCTGGTGGTCTACACTTGAGCCACATCTCCATTTCTATAGCTGGTTAACTGAGATAAGAACTTTTCTGTCCAGACTGACTTCAAACCACAATCCTTAGATCTCAGCTTCCTGAGTACCTCGGATTAGAAGCACTCACTTATAACTGTTAATTGGTACACTGTAGCATATAGATTTTAGTAATAAATAAATCTGGCCAGAATATAAACTCTATGACTATGAACTCTATCTTGTTGACTATGTACACTCAACAACTAGAACAGTGCCTGGCAAGTAGCAGGAACTCAATGAAGACCTTATAAATGAATAAATGAGTCCCTTCACACAGTGATTTTCAACAGTAAAACCTTTCATATAGCTAGTATGATATAGGCTTGGCATGGTGACACATTTCTGTAATCTAGCTACTCAGGCGGTAAAAGAATCCTGTCTAAGGACACCCTAGGCAAAAATATGAAACTGTCTGAAAAAAAAAAAAAGTAAAAAGGACAGGGGCATGGCTCCAGTGATACAATACTTGCTCAAGCAACTTCAAGGCCCCAAATTCAATTACTAGTGCTGCTAAAAAAAAAAAAAGAGGGGGGAGGTAAATTTTTGTGATCTAATAGTATGATATATTGTGATATATATGCATATATACAACATATATGTACATATAAAGTTGATATAATAGTATCATGATAGTTTAAATGTTTGCCAGAACAAAATTCAATAAGACACCCCTCCCCTCAAAAAGCCCCAAACTTCTAGGTATATCAATTCATATAACATGCAAAACTGAATGGCCTACAAAGAAGCAAGAAATATGATCCATATCAGGAAAAAATGGATTCTAGGGAAACCTGTATTACTAGGCAAAGGTTTATTAACAACTGATGCTGAGCCAGGCACAGTGGCTCAAGACTGAAATCATACCTACAGAGATCACTGTTTTGAGACCAGCAATATTAAAAGAAGAAAAACTGTGAGACTCCATCTCAGCCATTGACTGGAAACAGGACTCATAACTATAACCCAGCTACAGGGGAAATACTATGGCTGGGCACAGTGGTACATGTCTCTTGTCCCCAGCAACATGGAGAAGCACAAGTACAGGGATCACAGCTCACACCAAACTAGGCATAATTCAAGACCCTATTTTAAAAAATAATCAGTGCAAAATTGAAAACATGGCTCTAAAATACCTGCCTCACAAGCACAAAGACCTGAGTTCAATATTCTAGTATTGCCAAAAAAAAACTAAAAAAAAGACCTGGTGTGGTGTGTGTGTGTATGGGTGCACACGTGTGGTATGTGTGTGCATGTTTTCAAGGATTTAAAGGAAAAGACAGGAACATCTAATGAAGAAATGGAAACTAAAACAGAACCAACTGAAAATCCCAGAACTGAGTATGTTGAAGCATTACACTGACAGGCCTTACCAACCAAATAAACATTGCAAACAGTGCTGACAGACATTAACAAACTGAAGGAGAAAATATTCAAGAAAACCACATAAGCAGGAGACCAGCTAATCAGGAGACCAGGGTAGGACTTCTAACAAAGGCCAGCCTAAAATAAAGCTTGGCACCCTGCTGGAAAAACAAAGTAAACCTGGCTATGGACTGGAACTTTGAAACTATGAGCCAAAATAAGTCTTTTCTCTTTATAAAATTACCTAAAGTGTTTTGTTATAGTAATAGAAAGATTACTAACATATCCTTTAATGGTTTTCCTCAAAGTAAATCATTAGGGGCAAATCTGTGTGTGGGTGTACGCATATGCTGGTAATGGAGGTTGAACTTGGGGCTTTGCACTTAGAAGGTAGGAACTCTTCAGTCTCCTATCTCTTTCTGCTTTAGTTTTTTTTTTTTATTGTTATGTTTTGTTTTACAGTTCTAGGACTTCAAACTCAGGGCCTGGGTGCTGTCCCTGAGCTTTTTCACTCAAATCTAGCACTTTACCACTCTGAGCCACAGCACCACTTCTGGTTGTTTGGTGTTCAAATTGGAGATAAGACTCTCACAGACTTTCCTGCCAGGGCTGGGTTTGAACCCCAATTCTTTGATCTGAGCATCCTGAGTAGCTAGGATTACAGGTGTGAGCAACTTGTACCCAGGTTCAGTTATTTAATAGGTTCTGGTGGATTGTGACCCTCCTTATTTTATGCTTTTATGTAGCTGAGATGATAGACACATACCACAATGCCAAGCTATTAGATGAGATGGGATGTTGCTCAACTTTGTGTATGGGCTAGCCTCAAATTTCAACCCTCCCAATCTCAACTTCTCAAGTAATATGGATTATGGTTATAAGCCACACAACACTTATCCTTAAAGGCAATTTTTAATATGAGATTGAGTAAACCATAAAACCAGAAGAGTTTCCAAGGATGAACTAAGATTTTTACCGGGTAGTGGAGGCTCACACCTATAATCCTAGCTACACAGGAAGCTGAGATCTGAGGGTCGAGGTTTCAAAGCCAGCCTAGGCAGGGAAGTCCATGAGACTCTTATCTTCTTATCTCCAATTAACCCCCAGAAAACCAGAAGTGAGACGTGGCTCAAAGTGGTAGAATGCTAGCCTTGGACAAAAAGCTCAGAGACAGTGCTCAAGCTCTGAGTTCAAGCCCCATGACCAACAAAAGAAAAAAAAAACATTAAAAAATACAACCTAACTGAAAAAAGTGACAAAAAAGGCTTACTGACATTGCACAGAAGGCAATCAAGTTGCCAACAAACAAGAAGTTTTATATCACTAACACCAAGGGAAGTTTTAGTTAAAATGATATGTTCATAATGATAAATATCTAAATAGCAAGACCTTTTCACAAAACAAAAACAAAACCCACAGCTTATTGGGCTCCAGTTCTCATTCATCTCCAATTCATTTGGTCTCAGATAGGATCTAATCTGCATCTCTGACAAGATCGTAAGTAATGCTGGTACCATGGTCTAGAAAGAATATCTTAAAATCCCACAAGAATATAGACATGAGAGAATTGGAGAAGATAACCAAACTATACAAATAAAATGACTAATACTTCAGATCTAAATTTTAGACACCAATTTCAGACATATCCAATTAGCTATAATTACATGGCAATTCTTTTAACCAAGAAGGAATAAAAACAACCAAGAGGCAAAAACATGCTGCTAGTTCTGATTTTTTTTTTGTCGGTCGTGGGGCTTGAACTCTAGGCCTGGGAGCTGTCCCTCAGCTCTTCAGCTCAAGGCGAGTGCTCTACCACTTGAGCTACAGTGCCACTTCTGGTTTTCTGGTGGTTTATTGGAGATAGGAGTCTCACAGTCTCTCTTGCCCGGTCTCTCCTGCCCGGGCTGGCTTTGAACCGCAATCCTCAGATCTCAGCCTCCTGAGTAGCTAGGATTATAGGTGTGAGCCACCAGCGCCTGGCTGATTTTTTTTTTATCATGATAAAGTTGGCTGGGAAAGTTATCTACAGCAGCTAAGAAACATAGATATGACCTCACCCCCACCCCCACCCCCACGCAAAAAAAAAAAGACACAAAAGAAATGAATGGGACTAGGATAATATCAAGTGAAACTATGACTTTAAGTAACATGAATAAGAATCCAACACATTGGCTGGGTGCCAGTGGCTCACACCTGTAATCCTAGCTACTCAGGAGGCTGAGATCTGAGGATCATGGTTCAAAGCCAGCCTGGGCAGGAAAATCTGTGAAATTCTTATCTCTAATAAACCACCAGAAAACTGGAAGTGGTGCTGTGGCTCAAGTGGTAGAGCATTTAAGTTGAGCTGAAGAGCTGAGGGACAACGCCCAGGCCCAGAGTTTAAGCCCCATGACTGACAAAAAGAAAAAAGAAAATCCTACACATTAATGAAGAAAGATATAATGGAATAAAATTGACTGTAAAAGAAAACTGAAAAAACTGTTCAAAGTGTGGGACAATTCACTACAGACAAGCAAAGTCTTAAAACTTAAATAACTCCCATACGAAATAACTATGCCACCTTAAAGCACACCAACAGCACAATTTTGGAATGGTGGGTATGAAAAAAACATCCAATTAGTGAGTAACTAATGAGAAATTTCAATCATCCAGGTATCTGTGGCTTTTTACATTTTACCCAAAAAAAAATGGACCAGGGTATGGTAGAACATGGAAAGCTTGGGGAGAAGGATATCAAGTTCAAGCCTGGACTACGCAGCAAAGTCAAGGTGACCAATGGGTAAATAGGCCCTAGTTCAAATTTTTTAAAAGGAGGAAAAAGAAAAAACAGAACAAGAAAAAATGGTGCCACATGAAAAATAATCACTGCAGTTAAATTCTCTAATAACTTTTACTTACCAGCAGGCGGTTCATCGACTTTTGCTACATCATTCTCTTCTATTCCAGGCATCCCTGCATCACCAATTCGTTTGATTTGTTCTGCTCAAGTAACAAAAAGATGTAATTCTGTATATTATTCTTATAGAAACTGAAAATGAACCAGGCATGCCTGTAATCCTAAACTACTCAGGAGGCTGAAGATCTTGGTTTGACGCCACCCCAGGCAGAAAAGTCTGTGAGACTTTTTATCTCCTCTTAACTAGCAAAAAGCCAGAAGGAAAGCTTTGGCTCAAGTGGCAGAGCACTGCCTTAAAGGAAATAGCTAAGTAGGAGCACCTAGGCCTTGAATTCAAGCTCCAGTGGTTCACATCTATAATCCTAGCTACTCAGGAGGCTAAGATCTGAGGATCATGGTTCAAAGCCAGCCCGGGCAGCAGAGTCCATGATACTCTTTTTTTTGGGGGGGGGTGGGTGGGGGGTCCAGTCGTGGGGCCTGAACTCTGGGCCTGGGCGCTGTCCCTCAGCTCTTCAGCTCAAGGCTAGCACTCTACCACTTGAGCCACAGCGCCACTTCTGGCTTTATTCTTTTTGCTTATGTGGTGCTGAGGAATCGAACCCAGGGCCTCATGAATGCAAGGCAAGCGCTCTACCACTGAGCCACCTTCCCAGCCCCTCCATGAGACTCTTATCTCCAATAAACCACTAGAAAACCGGAAGTGGTGCTGTAGCTCAAGGGGTAGAGCGCTCACCTTGAGCTGAAGAACGCAGGGATAATGCCTAAGCCCAGAGTTCAAGCCCCATGACAGACAAAAAAAATGAAAGTTGTTGAATGAAAGTTAATCGGTTTCTAGAGCAATACATTATATAGACTAAAAATTTTTACATCTTGAGGGGGCGGGGAGAGAATGGGAAGGGATGGGAAGGGTAAACAAAGGAGGAGGCTACAATGCTTGATAAGAAATGTACTCATTATCTTGCCCATATAATTGTAACCCCTCTGTACAGTATTTTCAAAATTAAAAAAAAAACTTTTTACATCTTGTTGTAAATATAACTATAACTAAGAAATAACTTAGTTTTTTCTTTTCTGCCAAAGGATCGAATTTTTTTTTTTTTGTCGGTCCTGGGGCCTGAACTCTGGGCCTACGGGCTGTCCCTGAGCTCTTCAGCTCAAGGCTAGCTCTCTACCACTTGAGCCACTGCGCCACTTCCAGCTTTTTCTGTTTATGTGGTGCTGAGGAATCAAACCCAGGGCCTCATGCACGCAAGGCAAGCGCTCTACCACTGAGCCACCTTCCCAGCCCCAAAGGATCCAAATTTTTAAACAAATAAATTAATTTTTTCTTTGCCTGCCTTCTGCCTTCCTTCCTTCTTTCCTTCCTTCCTTTTCCTACTTCTTTTTCTTTTCTTACTTCTTTTTCTTTTCTTGTTTTTCAGACTTGTAAATTTTTATTTTTTTTTAAGTTTTATACATTACAGGAACAAACACACAAGCAAAGAACAAAATCATGCTCAGACATAATAAGTTGAGCATGTCCTAGATCCTGCATGTACAGAGAGTGATCCATTTTAGGAAACTGAGATCATATGGTATGTGTTATGCTTTACCACATCAACTAATTTCCACATCAACTAATTATCTTTATGATTGAAAATGCTCACTTCAAAATGAACAAATGAAAATGAAAAATGAAAGGGCTGGTGATGTGGATCAGTAGTAGAGTAACTTGCCATGCATGTGCATGTACAAAGCCTTGGGTTCCCTAGCACCCAAGAATTGACAAAAAAGGAGGGGATGTTGGGTACCAGTGGAAGTAATCCTAGCTAATCAGGAAGCTGGAATATCATGGTTCAAAACCAGCCCAAGAAGAAAAGTCTGCAAGACTTGATGTCAAATTAACCAGCAAAATGCCAGGTATGGCTGAAGTGGTAGAGTGCCAGCTGAGCAAAACAGTGAGCAGATAGCACTCACTTGAAGCTTTGAGTTCAAATCCTAGTACTAGTACAATGAAAGTGGGGGAGAGGTCAATATCCTATTAACATGAAGCAAAATAGTAACAGTAATAATACCTTTGCCATGTGGAATATGATTGCTTGAGGGCTCTTCATTCTTATCTGCAGCATTCTCAACTTCTTTTGGAATATTGTTAGGTACGACATGATCATTTATTTCCAAATCTTTTCCATCATTTGCTTGAACTTTTTGGGCCTCTTGCTGTTAGATAAAAGAGTTGTTAACAGTAAATATTTTCAGTTCAAAATTTTTAAACATTGATACAGTTATTAATGTTCCAAAACAATTAAACTTCTAACATGAGTCCAAATTTTGAACTTTATTTTTTTGGTTGTAAGGCCTGAACTCTGGGCCTGGGCACTGTTCCTCAGTTCTTCATCTCAAAGCTAGCGCTACACCACTTGAGCCACAGCACCACTCTGGCTTTTTCTACTTATATGGTGCTGAGGAATCAAACCCAGGGCCTCATGAACATAAGACAAACACTCTACCACTGAGCCACCTTCCCAGCCCTCCAAATTTTGAACTCTTAAAGAGATATGGGACATACTATTATTTTCTGTTCAATTTTTTGGTGGTTGGGTTTTTTTAGGTCCAAGATGAGGATTTGAACTCTGTTACTGATGCTTTCACTCACTGGTTAGTGCTCTGCCAACTGAGCCACACCTCTAACTCCTTTCTTTTCAGTTTTAATAGCTGATATTAAATAAAGGAATTAAACATTTTAAAAGTCTCTAATTATAGTAAATGCCTAAAATGTTAAGCAGAAGGACATCTCTGGCACATTAAGGAGGTGATTCTGGAAGATTTAGCCTGCTGAACGGTGTGGGTTGTTATGGTTACACACACTGTCCTGGGTCTTACGGGAAGAGTGATTCTCTGTAGACATACACTAGCATAAATCAGGATGGCAGAACAGGAAGAGATTGGCACATGGGTGGCTTTTCAAGTGTGACAGATGGCTACTTTCAGGCTTGTCCACAAGAAGAAGGCAACAAGTGCAAAAAACATACAAACTCCTTCCCTTGAGTACTGGCCATCCAAGCATAGCAATAAAGGCAGGAAAACATCCAAGTCAATGCTCCCTACAACCTGTTCCTGACTACAATGTCTTCTTAGAAATTACTGTAAGTGGGCTGGGAAGGTGGCTCAGTGGTAGAGCGCTTGCCTTGCATGCATGAGGCCGTGGGTTTGATTCCTCAGAACCCATAAGCAAAAAAAAAGAGCCAGAAGTGGCGCTGTGGCTCAAGTGGTAGAGCGCTAGCCTTGAGCTGAAAGAGCTGAGGGACAGCGCCCAGGCCCAGAGTGCAGGCCTCACAACCAGATCCCCCCCCCCAAAAAAAAAAAGAAATTACTGTAAGTCTTTGGTACATGCTTAGGCCTAAATCAATTGTATTGGTGGACTATTTACTAGTTGCTTCACAAGGAAATTTAGAAAGATAAGAGAATGATGGAAACACGTTTTGGATGCCATACATGTAGGCTCCTCTAGAGCCTTCATGCATAAATAAATGCTTTGTATATGCTAAAGCATTATGCAATGTAATTATTAGTAATGCTACAGAAGTAATAATAAAAATCTACATGAAATAAGCAGGGTGCCAGGGGCTCACATCTGTAACCCTAGATATTTAGGAGGCTAAGATCTGTGGAGGTTGGTTCGATACCAGTCCAGATAGAACTGTCTGAGATCTTCATTAACCAGAGAGTAACTATGACTCAAGTAGCAGAGCACTAGCCTTGAGCAAAAAATCCAGGGAAAGCCAGGTGCTGAAAGCTCACGCATGTAACTCTAGCTACTCAGGAAGCTGAGATTTGAAGAATGCTGTTCAAATCCAGCCGTTCGGGGAAAGTCCAAGAGACTCTTATCTCCAATTAAGCACTAAAAGAGCAGGAAATGGAACTATGGCTCAAGTTATACGAGTACTTGCCTTGAGCAAAAAAGCTCAGGCACAGCACCAAGGCCCTAAATTCAAGCCCCAGTACCAGCAACAAAATCAAAATTTGAAATTTTTTTTTAAATAATTCTTTATGGCTGGGCACTGGTGGCTCATGCCTATAACCCTAGCTACTCAGGAGGCTGAGATATGAGAATCATGGCTCAAAGCCAACCCAAGCAGGAAAAGTCCGTGAGACTCTTATCTCCAATAAACCACTCAGAAAACCAGAAGTGGTACTGTGGCTCAAGTGGTAGAGCACTAGCCTTGAGCTGAAGAGCTGAGGGACAGCGCTCAGGCCCAGAGTTCAAGACCCACAACTGACAGAAAAAAAAAGAAAAAAAAATCTTTATAACAAATGTACAACTTAAATTTCTAAATTACATGATAACAAAAACCTATTTCAGCTTGAGTATTTTTATATATTTATTATAAAAATGTTGTACAGAGGGGTTACAGTTATATGAGTAGGGTAATGAGTACATTTTGTAATGAGTACTGTTAACCTCCTCTTTTGTTTTCCCCCACCATCATTTCCCTCCCCACCTCCCCAACTCCCCTCCCCCCCACACTGTAGAGCTCATTTTCAACATGGTGTCCTGTACAACTCATCATCACAATGGGTCAGCCTGCATCCCCATTTAAGCGTCGCCCAATATCCCTTCCCAGCTTAAGTATATTTTTAAAGTTTACCTTCTGTTCCTGCAAAAATTGGTCGGCTAATTTTTTTATATTTTCTTCATGCTGTGCTCTTAATTCCTTGATCTGCTGTCCACACTGAAAACTAAGTTACATAGTCATTCTTTTAGATTATATTATGCTGAATGACTTCTCAATGCTGTCTACACTTGCATTGAAAATATTAAAACACTCAGAGGACAGTGGCAGAAATGATAAAAGCCAAATAATTTAGCTAAAACTTTTAAACATTTCAACCTTTAAGGGGGGGCAAGACATAAAGTAGAAATTGGAAAGACAAAAACGATTCTTACTCTATTACTTTATAAATTGTGTCTATAAGAGAAAAGCAAGCAAACTGGTAAAATATTCCTTCTCAGAAAGTCTATATTTGAGAATATACACTAGCAAAATAAGATAGAAAATCTCTTTTTGCATAAAAAATTTTAAAGCTGTGATAGCCTTAGTAGTGAGCAAAGATAAACTACAGTGATCTAATTCTAATTATGGAACTGGTAGAGACAAAGCAAACATTAATATATTAATATGCTGGAATATTATATATGTTAAAATCTTTACTACTGTAGGTGTACAACAAAGTACTAAATACAGTTAGGATAATATACACAAATATAAGTGCATACCAATAACCTTTGGCAATAACTCCCAAAAGTATAAACTGTTTTAGAACATGGCAAATCTTTCTAATGTCTGGTGTAAAAATTTAAAAGATGCCTTTTTTCCAAAAATGGATATAAATTTAAAATTTTTTAAATTTTTAGAAAGTTGGGACTGGGAAGGTGGCTCAGTGGTAGAGAGCTTGCCTTGCATGCCTGAGGCCCTGGGTTCGATTCCCCATCACCACATAAGTAAAAAAAGAAAAAAAGAAAAAGAAAAAAGCCGGAAGTGGCACTGTGGCTCAAGTGGTAGAGTGCTAGCCTTGAGCTGAAGAGCTGAGGGACAGGGCCCAGGCCCAGAGTTCAGGCCCCACGACCGGACCCAAAAATAAATAAATTAATTAAATTAAATAAAAATAAAAAACTACAAAAGCAAAGCAGAAGTTTAAGCTTCAGGCTTATATCTAATTTACATTTAAAAAATATGTCAAAAAATATTTTTAGAAAGTTATATTTTAGAAAGGTTTTCAAGTTTTAGAAAAGTTCCCAAGATGCTCTCAACATCTTCCCTGAGTGGGCAAGTAAAGCGGGGAGGCTCAAGGGCAGAACCGAGGTGGCCAGTACGCGCAGGGCCTCAGTTAACTGAGGACCTCCCCCAGGGCTCACTTTACCTACTGCAGGCCCCTCAAACAGAATCACAGAACCTCCTGACAATCTTTGTCATATCTAATTTGGTAAGACTAAAAACCTGGAAGATGTTTGTTTCATGATGACTCTAACAACACAAACTTAGCATGCCTTGTATGCCTTGTATGGTTAATGTATAAATATTCACAAGAGCCACTGATGACAAAATAATATGAATTTATAAGATCTAAGAAAAGAAGAAGAGAAAAATAGCAGCCAGACAGGAAGAAGTGAGTTAACCTAAAAGCTGGATCTTATTATTTTAGATTCACAAATCTTAGTTAGATAGAACACCTTACCTTTCATATTCTAGCCTCTTTACAAGGTAAGTATTGTTCTTCCTGTAGTCCTGAAGCTGGTCTTCTTGTCGAAGAAACTCCTGCCGCAGCTCAGCAAGTTGCTCTGTCCACACAGATAAGAAGTAAAAGGCATCAAGTTTACTATTGGGAACCTATGGCTGTTCTTTTAATTACATACTTCTCAATTTCTTTATACATGGCCTTAGGGAGTTAAATTACATCATTGATAACACATTTAATTATTTTTTACAACCCACCCATGGCCAATAAGACTTACTATAAAACAATATAACCTCAATTGTTTTATATCAACCTAAAATACTTTTTAAATTGCACATCTTTTTATAATATGTAGGTAAACATTAAGCAGTCCAAAAAAAAGCACACACTTCTCCCTCTTTCTCTCTCTAAATCTATTTTATAGAAGTAGAAAATATTAAACTTTTTTGGGGGGTAGGGGGATTCGAACTCTGGGCCTGGGTGCTGTCCTTCAGCTCTTCAGCTCAAGGCTAGCACTCTACTACTTGAGCCACATTGCCACTTCTAGCTTTTTCTGTTTATGTAGTGCTAAGGAATTGAACCCAGGGCTTCATGCATGCTAGGCAAGCACTCTACCACTGAGCCACCTTCCCAGACCAATATTAAACTTTTAAAATAAATTCATTATGAGTATAGAATGCAGGGTGTCTTAGCCCATACTTCTCTATTAAACTTTAAAGAAATTCACTGTGAATACAGAATGCAAGGTGTCTTTTGTTGTTGCTGTTATCTTTAGCCCAGCCTGGCCTCAAAGTCAAAATTCTCGTCTCAGCCTCTAGAGAGCTGGGCTTACAGGCTCCTGTCACTCCTTTAGACTTTTCTGTTAGTTTCATTTTGCTTTGGTGCGGGTAGTAGGCTTGAATTCAGGGCTTAACACTCTTGCTTAGCATCTTCACTCAAGGATAGTGCTTTACCACTTGAGCCACACCTGTACTTCCAGCTTTTTTCTGGCTAAATGGAAATAAGAGTCTCATGGATTTGCTTGCTGGCTTCAAATTGTGATCCTCAGGTATCAGCCTCCTGAGTAGCTAGGATTACAGGTGTGAGACACCAGCTCACAGGAAAGGTTTCAAAAATAACCAGTTCCGTTTATGCAAAGGGTGTGAGAGAGGAGAGTTCCTCAAGGAGGAAACTCCAAAAGGCTACAGGATGGCGTGCTTTCCTTTTTTTCTATAAAAGCTTTAGTTACCTCCCAATGCTTCATTTGTATTTACGTATCTTAAAATTTAGTATGTTACATTTATGATATATTTGCCTAGCTTCCATGTTTCTTTCTGTCCTAGAGTATCCACAGTATCCTTAAACCTGAGTGGCTTATTTGAACAGACTCTATACAGAAGGACCCTTTTGTGATTTTTCTAAAAATGTGATAACCTCAGAAGCTACAGTTCAATGTTCGTTGAAGATTCCTTAAGAACATTTAATTGCAAGAATATTCTCCATGAACAAAATTAAAGATACAGACCTCAAATTTAAAGTTGCATTTATTACGTATTAATAAATATTACATGTCTTAAGACAAATCTGGATAAACTGCCAGAGGAGCTTTGCTATGACAACTTTATGTCATTTAGCTGTCTTATTGTTCCTTAGTTCCTGAAGGTTTTATACATGTAGTACCCTCTACTTTTACTCTATAGGTAAATTTCTTACCCTTTAAATGATGAATGTCTGCCATCTGATAAGATATGTTGTTCTGTAGTTTAAGCTGAAAAAGAAGTTTCCATTTTACTAAAGAATATAGTTTACAATGCTTGATAAGAAATGTACTCATTATCTTGCCCATGTAATTGTAACCCCTCTGTACGGTATTTTCATAATAAATATATATATATATATATGAATATAGTTTATATAGAGAGTTCTATATATATATATATTGTTCATACTCACTTTGAGCTTGATCATAAATGAAAAAAAATCTCTATACCCTCCAACATTTTTTTTGTCAGTCATGGGGCTTGAACTTGGGGCCTGGGTACCATCCCTGAGCTCTTTTGCTCAAGGCTGGCCACTTTGAGCCACACAGTACCACTTGTGGTTTCCTAGTGGTTAATTGGAGATCAGAGTCACATAAACTTTCCTGCCCAAACCAGCTTTGACTCCTAAGTAGCTAGAATTTTAGGCATGAGCCCCCATCACCTGACCCCTTCAACTTTTAAAAAAAGGATTGTTGATTTATTAGTGCTTATTTTAACTTTGCATGAGAATACTCCTTGTACATGGTATATAGTGAGTCAACTTCCAAATATTCTTAAGTTTGAATTGAACATCTATTCATATTTTTCCCAAATCTTATCAGAAAGATCACTCATTAACTCTATATTCATCAATGAATTATTTGAAATATCTAAAGACAAATCAACAGTAATCAATGTTTATCAAACTGCCACCTCTGTGTGCAGTATCATATCCAGAACTCAGGACCATGGTCACTATCCTTTAGGAGTTAGTAACAACGTAAAAGCATACCAAAAGCTGGGTGCTGGTGGCTCACACCTGTAATCCTTGCTACTCAGAAGGATCTGTGGATTGTTGGTTCAAAAGCCAGTGTAGGCAGGAAAGTCTGTGAGACTCTAATCTCCAATTAAGTACCAAAAAAACGGAAGCGGACCTGTGGCTGAAGTGGTAAAGCATTAGTATTAAGCACAAAAGCTCAGGGGCAGTGCCAAGGCCCTGGGTTCAAGCCCCAGCACCAGAAGAAAAAAAAAGTACCAAAACAAGACTAAAAAAGCAAGCCTGGCCGAGTGCTGGTGGCTCACGCCTGTCATCCTAGCTACTCAGGAGGCTGAGATCTGAGGATCGAAGTTCAAAGCCAGCCTGGGCAGGAAAGACCATGAGACTCCTTTCTCCTATAAACCACTACCAAACCGGAAGTGGCGCTGTGGCTCAAGCGGTAGAGCGCTTGCCTTGAGCTGAAGAGCACAAGGACAGTATCCAAGCCCAGAGTTCAAGCTCCACGACTGACAAAAAAAAAAAAAACAAGCCTGGAATTGAAATTCACCAGTCAGCCAGGCACCAGTCCAAGCTACTCAGGAAGCTGAGATCTGAGGAGATCTGCCAGTCTGGGCAGAAAAGTCCCCACAAGACTATTATCTCCAATTAACCACCAGACAACCCAAAATGCACTGTGGCTGAAGCAGTAGAGTGCTAGCCTTAGCAAAAGAGCTTAGAGACAGTGCCCAGCCCCATGACCAACAGAAAACAAAAACAAACAAAAAACCTCATCATTCAATTACAAATTAAAATGAGGCCTTGGATATTTTGAGATTTTATACACAAAAAAAACCTTGATTCTTGCTTTATACAAGCTTCATATAGTTGTAAAATGTAACTAAAATACAATGAATAGACTGCCTACCTCACACTAAGACACATTCAGATTCATATTAATCAGACACAGAGGCAAATGATAAATACCAATTCATTTTCTAAAGAACATTTCTTTAAACCTTTGAGTTTTGAAATAGTTATAGATTATCTGTGCAAAGATAGCATATAGACCTATGCTATATGTACCTTCACACACAATACTACCAGTGGGCACATCTTATGTAACAATACTGATAAAATGTGTATGTATATTTCTGTGCTACGCTAGTACTTTAACATTTATGAAAATTTCTGTAACCACAATTGCAATCAAGACACACAACTACTCTATCATCAGAAAGATCTCCCTCATGTCATCTTTTATAGTTATACATATCTTCATCCCCCTCCACCTTGTACTGAATGGAAAAAAGTTACATAGCCAAGGAAATTCTTTTGAGGAAAACAAATAAAATAATAAAATCTTAACTCTTATCCAAAAATTATAAACAATAGTTGCTCCTAACATATTGTCTAACAAAACAAATGCCAGGAAGCTGAAACATGTTGGGGGAAGCAATGGGGAGTCACACAAAGAGGGAGGAAGGATAAACCAAGTCATTATATTGCATGGACACTATATAAACACTGAACTATGTAACATGAAGGTAGGGATAGGATGGAGAAAATGGGAGAACAATGGAAAGGGTGACTGATTAAAACGCATTGCACTCATAACCCGACTTCTGAAATGAAAACTCTTTTGTCCAACTACTTAGAAAAGAATAAACAAAAAGAAGTTATTCTTGCTCATGTAATCATAGTTCAGAAGGTACTTCCTATTACTTCAGAAGTCAGATATCACATGGTATGCTGTAAGAATAGCTTCCTGACACTTAAGAACAGACTGGACTGCCAAGTATCCCAGGCTCCCACAGTACCCCTAGTTCCTCCACTACTCTAAGGGCATCAGCAGAACATACACTTTATAGAGGGGAGCAGCTGTGTCAACTGAGGAAACAATATGAGATGACTAAGTACCCCACTAACAGGACTGGAGTGGCCTTGGCTGAAAGGCTAAAGCTGAAGGAAGACCAAGTACATAGATCTGGCTGGGATAAATCAGCATCTCCAGGAACAATTACAACAATTACCTGGGGAACCCACACTGCGCCCGTCTGCCTCAAAGCCTGTGACTCTGTCCCTGTCCCTATCTGGGTAGAGTCCATGATCCTAGGTCCCCAGGTTTCTGCCACTTTTCTCTATTGTGGGTACCCTCCCAGCAGTAGATCCCTTCTCTAGTCTTAGTCAGGCTTAGGAAAAGCCTGGATGCAGTGCATGAGGGCATGCAGGATGCCCCAGACTGAATCTCTGGCCTCAGAGCCCTTATACCCCAGACTTCTCGCTAGACACTGCCAACTCTGACCTTGGTCTTTGCCATGACATCTGAGTATCAAGATGGAGGTGGAACTGCAAATAAGAACCAATCAGGCATAGGATGTTTCTAAATCTCTAGTTTTGTTTTTTGTTTTTGTTGCGGGGCAGTGGGCAGGGAGGTTCCTATGTCTTGCAGCATCCTGAAGAACCTACAAAACAGATAGCCTTGAGCCAGGCACCAGTGGCTCATGCCTGTAATCCTAGCTACTCAGGAGGCTAAGATCTAAGGATTGCGGTTCAAAGCCAGACCAGGCAGAAAAGTCCATGAGACTCTTATCTCCAATAAACCAACAGAAAACCAGAAGTCCGTGAGACTCTTACTCCAATAAACCACAAGAAAACCAGAAGTGGCTCTATGGCTCAAGTGGTAGACCACTAGCCTTAAGCTGAAGAGCTGAGGGACAGCTCCCAGGCCCAGAGTTCAGACCCCACGACTGGCAAAAAAAAAAAAAAAAGGCAGCCTTATCAGACACCAGTGAATCCTCATGCTGGGTACTTTCTGCCTCATGAATGCACTATCTCCCCAACCTTCTGCATGTGGGCATGCAGTGTGTTCACTTTGAAGACACTATACATGCTCACTGCACTGACCCCATCTCCTCCTTTGAGTACCACTGGGAATTCCTGTATGTTTCTCTATATCAATGGAATTGCTGTGGGTTTCCTTCAGTTGACACTGCTTGCAACCTCTCTAAACTGGTTCTATCCCACATTCTGGCTGGTCAGTGTCTTCTTCCACACTCAGGTTAGAGAGGCTTTATAATGTTTACTTATCTGCCAACTTGTGCTCTAGCTGTGTTTTTAATATTTCCCTGATGATTGGCAGGAATAAGTTTCTCTCTACAGTGTGGAAGGGAACTTCTGTAAATAACTAAACCCTAGCCATCATTTTCTATTATCATAAAATAGCATTTATTAGATAATAAACTGCACATCAGATAGACATAATCATTGTTTGTTGAGATTACAATCCAGAGCTAAGATCAATGAGAATTCACCAAAAAAAGTCAAGCTAAAACATTTAGACAAATAAAAAGAAGTACACACTGAAAACACACTCCTTAAGTATCCAAAGCAATTATTGATTATAGCATAATCTATGTAAATGAATACTTGTTTTATCTCCCTTCTCTACAATTAGCCATAATTTTTCAAGAAGCATCTTGTTTCATGATTTCTATGGAACCTCTTGATATCCTTCAGTTTCTTATCATGGAAATAAAAGAGAAAAATGTAAACAAGAAAAGAAGATAAATGAATAGTAGGGACGTTTTTAAGACCATTTTAATACATAGTTCAACAAGTACTCAATATGTATTTCTTTAGCAGAATTAATACATTTTAGGAGAACAATACAAGCCCAAACTTTGTCAAGAATAATTATATCAATGAACCAAAGAAAGGGATATTAGTAAATGTCAAGGTTTTTGTTTTTTTGTTTTTGTCAGTCATGGGGTTTGAACTCTGGGCCTGGGCGCTGTCCCTCAGCTCTTCAGCTCAAGGCGAGCGCTCTACCACTTGAGCCACAACACCACTTCCAGCTTTGCTTTTTCTGCTTATGTGGTGCTGAGGAATCAAACCCAGGGCCTCATGCATGCAGGTAAGCACTCTACCACTCAGCCACCTTCCAAGCCCCTATGTCAAGTTTTGTAGCAGATTGTTATTTACATATTTTATTTCATCAATATTCTTTATTTTGGGTGAAGAAACAGATTGAATAGGTTAAAAAAAAAGAAGCAAAATTGTAAACCCAGGTTTGTTTGACTCAAAAAGACCTTGTTCTTTCCACTAAACTATATTGTTATACAGTATAGTAATATTATAGAAGACACATTATCAAACAACAAATCAAAAAGTGTTTTTTTTTGGGGGGGGGAATAGTACTGGGACTTGAACTTAGGGCCTCCAGTTTTGGCTTTTTTGCTCATGGATGGCACTTCACCACTTAAGCCATATCTCCAGTTTAATTCTGTTTTATCTTCTTACAAGGACACCAGTCATAGTAGACTAGGCTTGGACTTCAAAGCAACTTGATTAAATCTAAATAGGCCTATTTCCAAAGCTAACATTCACATATACCAGGAATTAATATTTCCAAATAATTTGAGATATGGGGTGATGCATGAATCAATTATGACATATTAACACTAACTGCTAACAGAAACCCACTAGAATTTAAAGGATAAGCCTTCTAAAAGAACTTAAAATTTCTGCTACACACTGGCTGCTCACACATTAATCCTACCTTCTCAGGAGGCTGAGATCTGAGGATTGTGATTCAAAGCCACCTTGAGACTCTTATCTCCAATTACCCACCCTGAAAAGGGAAGTGGAGCTCTGGCTCAAAGTGGTAGAGCACTAGCCTTGAGCACAAAGTTCAGGGACAGCGTCCAGACTCTGAGTTCAAGCTCCATAACTGACCAAAAAAGAAAGTTCCTTAAGTTAAAATTTTGTTGAAAATTTGTTGTAAGATAAACATAGCAAAAAATGGTGGTTTAACAAGGGTACAGGTTGACCCATTGTAACAATGAGATGTACAGGACACTACGTTGAAAAATGAACTTTACAACTTCAGGGGAGGGAGAGGTGCTAGAGAGGGGGGAGGAAAGAGATAACAGGGGAAAAACAAAGGAGGGGTAACAATGCTCAATAGGAAATATATTCATTACCTTACTCATGTAACTGTAACCCCTCTGTACAGTATCTTTACAATAAAAAAAATTTAAAGGAAAAAAAAAAAGAAAAGAAATGGTGGTACATGCCTAATATCCCAACACTCAGGCTGAGAGGGGGAGGGGAGGAAGCAACCAATGAAACGTGAAAACCTACTGAAAAAGATTGGTAATAATAGTACAATGGATAGAAGAAATGGATTCTAGAAATGTACTCTTTACTAGATATATGTAAATATAACCTTTCTGTATGTCACCTTTATAATAGTAATAAATTTTTTAATGAGAAAAAAAAGAAATGAATTCTAGAGTATGTAGTAGAAAGGATTTATCTTTGAGATTACTGAGAAGAATGTTATAGTGATGTTTAACCATTGTAAGTCTGAAGATCTAATTTGATTTTGTTTTTGCGACAGGGTCTCACTTTGTAGCCCAGAAGTCAATGAGTCTTGGCTTCCCAAGTGCTGGTATTATAGGCATGAATCACTGTGCACAACCTGAAGACCTTAATACTCCAAATTTTCATGATTATTTGCCTACTATCTTCAGAGTTGTGTCTTAAGAGTTCTGTATGTAGTATAGTTTGCTGATCCCTTGCCCTCTATGAAATGATAAGGACAACTATAAGGAAGCACTTACCTAAGACCCCCAATCTTCATAAAATACAAAGCAGCGTATAGGATGAGAACAATCAGCAAGTTGGAGAAATCTCATGGAGATTTTAATTCATAATGATTTACTATAAGTGATTTTGAAATGGGAGGTAAAAAACTTAGAATTATAATAGGAACTTACACACACACAAAAGCAAAGGTTACTAATGAGCTCAAAAAGGAAGGCATCTATTATCTCACCCCAACATTTTCACAACTCTTGCTATACCAGAAGTTGCATCAAGTCACAAACTAAGAACATAACTAACCATACAATGGTGAGCACAAATTCTTGTTTAATAGCACTGTTCAGTTTTAAACTTCTTAAATTTAAAACTTTGTAATTTCTATCTACATATAACACCAAACCTATCAGCTATTCAAACATACACAATTTCATTTTATTTTCTTTCTGAAATGATGAGAACACAGATAAAAGATTCTGTTCTTCAGAACTTATTTTTAGATTCCGCCATTTGGGCTAATTTCATTAACAATTCAAATTCTGTAGAGAATGAGGGATTAACTATGTCCAAATCACAAGTGTGACTTATATATCTATGCCGGTTCCATATAACACTGATCATACACACACAAAAAGGCAATAATACCTGATGCTTATCGACCTATAAAAAAATTAAGAAGTGATAACTGCTTCAAAAATATGTTGACCACCAAAAGGAGTTAGAAGAGACCTCACTTTTTAAATACATACTGCTCAGTATGCACAGAGTAATGATGATACTTCAATAGCCACATGAAACCTCACACTCTCCAGATCTGCAGCCACATAGGCCAAAATGATTACCACTGCCAGCTCAGCAGCTGAGCTGAGAAGAAAAGGCGGCATGCACACATTAGGCCACTCCTGAAAACCAGAACTTAACAACCAGTCCCCAGCAGGGGACTAGGCAGAGATACGGTGGTACACGGATAAACCAGAAAATTGTGACAGACACTGCGATTTGTTAGGGGATTTTAAATGGGCGACAACCAAGGCTGCGATCCTGGAGAGGCTCGGACTTTCACTGCTTAGGCTAACATCCCCACCCCCCAGAGGTGGAAAAAAAAACAAAACAAAACAATAAACACAAAACCAACTAGGGGGGTGCAGGGAAACGGGCTCGGCCTTACCTTGTCATCCTCGCATCTCTTCCCCAGGCCCTCTCTGGCCTGCAGCTGGCTACTGAGACGGCCGTAGTCGGCGTCCTTCTGGTCGATCTGCTTCTTATGCGTGTCCACCAAGAGCAGGAGGTCCGAATTGCGCTTCTCCAGACGCCCGCGGGCCACCTCGGTGCGCTGGACCTGGCCTTGCAGCTCGGCCACCTCCTCCTGAAGCAGGACGTGGCGTGAGGAGATGCTCCAGTAGTTAAAGGCGAGGACGACCACCACCACCAGCAACACCACCAGCACGAAGGAGGGCAGGCGGCCAGCCCGCCGGTTGGCCCCGAAACCCACCATGGAGGGGGGTACCTCGGCCGCCCGCCGACAACCGGCAAGCAGAAGCTCAGAGGCCTAGACTGACGGAGGGTGCCCCGGGGACGCGGCCCCCGGGCCGGCCGGAGCGGGAGGCGGGCTTAGCCGCTCGCCAGGCCGAGCGGGAGAAGGGGGCGGGGCCGCAAGCCGCAGG